CGCCTCGCGGAGGTCCAGCGAGGCCAGCCAGTGCGACGGGTTGCCCAGCCTGCTCAGCCTCACGCCGGCCCAGCAGTACCGCCTGAAGGCCAAGTATGCTGCGGCCACCGGCGGGCCGCCACCCACGCCCCTGCCCAACATGGAGAGGATGAGCCTGAAGACGCGCATGGCCCTGCTCGGGGACGGCCGGGAGTCCGGGGTCCCCCTGCCCCCGGTCAACCCTCCTCGAAGATGCAGCGACGGGGGCACTCACAGTTACGGCCGGCGCCATCTGCTCCCGCGGGACGCGCTGGGCAACAGCGTGCGAAGAGCCAGCGACCCGGTGAGGACGGTGTCCGAGAGCCTGTCCCTGCCCAGGGTGCAGCGTTTCAACAGTCTCAGCAGCTGCAGTGCCCCGGTGTGGCCGCCGGCCGCGGAGAAGCGAACCCTGGCGCTCCAGAACTACACGCGGCCCGAGGGCAGCCAGTTCCGCAACTTCTACACGTCGCCCTGCCCGCCGAGCATCAGCGAGAACGTCACCCTGGAGGCGCTGCCCATGGAGGCGGACGCCAGCCTGAATGACGACGACCTCCTGCCGGATGACGTGGTGCAGTATCTGAATTCGCAGAACCAAGCAGGCTGTGAGCAGCACTTCCAGGCCAGCATCCTGGAGGAGGCCAAGGGGCCCCACGCGCCCGGCCTGGGCAGCGTGCACAGTGAATTCGACCCGCCGCCGCTGCCCGACAGCCACGTGGGCCAGCCGTACCGGGGCCTCGAGCCGCCGTGCGCAGACGGCAGGAAGAGCGACCTGCCCATCCAGTGGAACGAGGTCAGCTCCGGGAGTGCCGAGCTGTCCACTTCGAAGCTCAAGTGTGGCCCGCGCGCCCCGCTGCCGCAGGCTCGGGCGTTTGGCTTGTACAACAACATGGTGGTCCAGCAGCAGCCTCCGCTGCGGAACGGGGCCTGCGCCGCCGCAGGCGGGTACCCTGGGCTCGGGGAGAACAGCGGCTCCTACGGGAGCCCCGAGCACTTGGTGATTCATGGTGGTGGTGGCGGCGGCAGCAGCAATGGGAAGGGCTTTCACGAACAGCCCTACAAGGCCCCACAGTATGGGAGCTGTCTAAACAGGCAGCCAGGCCCTCCTGGCCCCCTGGACAGTGCCTGTGGTTCTGGGGTTCAAGGATCCAAGCTGAAAGGGGTCATGGTGCCAGGGAATGGAAGCCAGGCCAATTTCGGCGTGCCAGTGGCCCCTGGGGAGTCAGTTGGTAACACGGTGACTGGCCTGCCAAACCAAGATCTGGTGGGACAAGGGTACCTCGCTGCCCCGCTCATTAGCGACAACATGCACCACCAAGGTGGGGGCCGCTCTGGGCAGGGGGTGCTAGGGCAGGTAAGCGCTACCTCACAAGCCAGTGTCTATCCAGGGCCAGAGAGCTGTCTCACTGGGCTGCAGAGCCTCAGCATGCAGCCCTCCAGTGTGGCCGTGAGCAGGGGCTTCCAGCAGTGTACTAGCTTCGGGGGCAACCGGCGCCCATTGGGCCCCAGGGGGAGCCTGGCTCTGCAGCAGGGGCCCGTCAGTGACCCCAGTCAGACCTGCAGGGTGGATAGCATCAAGATGGAAATGCAGGGGCCGCCCCAGCAGCTCTGTGGAAATCTACAGAATTACTCTGGTCAGTTCTATGACCAAACCATGGGCTTCGGTCAGCAAGACACTAAAGCTGACTCCTTCATGTCCGAAGCCACCTGCCTGCTCCAGGGAGCCAGCGGCGCTGAAAACTCCGAGTTATTGTCCCCAGGTGCTAACCAGGTGACAAGCACAGTGGACAGCCTGGACAGTCATGACCTAGAGGGGGTGCAGATTGATTTTGATGCTATCATCGATGACGGGGACCACGCCAGCCTGCTGTCAGGAGCCCTGAGCCCGAGCATCCTTCAGAACCTTTCCCACAGCTCCTCCCGCCTCACCACTCCCCGAGCGGCCCTCCCCTTCCCAGCGCTGTCTGTGAGCACCACCAACATGGCCATCGGGGACATGAGCTCTTTGCTGACCTCCCTTGCAGAAGAAAGCAAATTCCTGGCAGTTCTGCAGTAGGCATTTGGAAAAAGGACAGCAAACCTGCATAAACTGTAGGAGGTTAACAGATGAAATGGACCCTTCTGTTGTGTTGTTTTGTTTTCTGAGTCCTGTGCGTGTTCCTTCCGGAGCTGGTGGCACGGGGTTAAAGTCCTTGGGTGCTGACTGAAAGGTCGCAGGAGGTTCAAACCCACCAGCAACTCCGCGGGAGAAAGATGTGGCCTGCTGCTTCCACAGAGGTTCACAGCCTGGAAAACCCTTTGGGTGGCAGTGCTGCTCTGCCCTGCAGGGGGCGTGGGGGTGCTGAGTTGGAATCCGCTTGAGGGCCGCAGGTTTGGTGTATGTGTTCTAGCGATCTCATCTCACCTGATTGGGATGTGTTTCAAGTATATTCCTTTTATGGAAAAGGACTTTGAAAAACCCTAAAGTATTCTAGGGAGAAACTGTCTTCCATATCAGCTTTGAATCAGTATTGTTACACAAACTCGAACCCCAGCCTTTTTCATTTTCTTTCATGGTAAGCCTGCCCCCTTTTTAGTAAGCCGATGTAAATGTTTGATGTGCATGTTCTGTCTTACAGAAGAGAGGTCAGAGGAGAGGCTGTGAGGGGGTCTTCTGCCACTCAAAGGAGATGGGAGTTGGTGAGCTTGTGACCAAAGGGGTGTGGTCCCAGCTTTTCAGTTCCCCTCTATAGACACTCGGCTCCTCCCCTTTCTTCTCCCTGATCTCGGGCACAAGAATGTGGATAGTGAGTTAGGAATCTTTTGTGGGTACACTCTAGCCTAGGTGACAGATTTTTAACACCCGCCCCCCCTCCCAAGCACTCCCCCAAGTCAGGGCATACTTGCTACCACGCATGAGTGGAAATTTTGGACTCTTGCAAGTGAAATAATTTCCTCACAAAATGTTTGGGTTTTGAAGTCTAAAAATCTTCATGTTCACAAGTGTGCTTTGGATGGGTTTGGCTATATGATCAGTTCCCAGTTGTCTATCTAGTTTACATCTTCTCCCTCAACCTTCTGGAACGTTCTCTAGCATTTAGTGATGCAGACAGAGCAAGCAAAGTGACAGTTGGGGAACTCCACCGCTTACCTACTTGTATCGCTTCTGGCCAGGAGTTGGCAGAATTGTAGATTGAAGTGTGGGGGTAGAATTAATTTGAGAGATTCTTGTGGGTTAGCTGTATTCATTGATTAGGCTCCATTTCTTTACCATTATCATAGGTAACTGAGAATTGATCGTCTATACCTCTAAGTACAGAAATATTTGAACCACCCCATAACCAGCTCTGTCTTTAACAGGTTAATTTTCATGATAGTGAGGGGCTATTTCTGTTTTCAGCCCGCAGTTTTAAGGGATTTGTAAAACGTAGTTGTAAAAGAAAAAGGCCCACACATACAATGGTATTTGGGATAAACTGACTCAACCGTTTTTAGCATTTAAGACCCGTAGAGAAGATGATTCGTAGCTGTGTGGATGCCCCACCCTACCGCTATCCCATTTTTGGTTTTAACATCTCATTAAATACCGCATTCACTTAAGAAGCTCAAGTTCATAATGTGGACAGATACTGTGTTTTGTTTGGAAAAATGGAAACAAAACAACCGCTACTATTCCCCATGTGCAGTTGATACACATAAAAGACATACTATGTGTGCACAAAAAGTACATGGATTATCCAGCATGTTATTTTTTAAAATATGTACACTTGAAAATAAAATTTTAACACCTCAGAGTACCTGCTGTCTTCTGCCCCATCCACCCCTAGACTTGGACTGGTCCACAGTAGTTCGTAATGTTATGTGTGGCATTGCCCCTTTATTCCCGCCACTTAAATTAGTGTTAGGAAGACAAATTTCAGTAAAATAAAGTGTTAGAGGTTAGAATGTTAGGTCCAGCCTTTTTTCTCATGTTTAATTTTTCCTCATTTGGACCAGAAATCTCAGCTTGGAGGTAAATTTGCCATTCGGGACATTGCGGCTGAAAACAGTCGGATTTACCTTTGACCAGCTGTGCCCGGGATGGACAGTGGAGTGTCCTGCCATTTTCCCACTTCTAGTGACGTCTTTAAAACCCAGGGACACATCTCCTTTGGAATAATAGGCCCCCAAACCCAAAGAGAACTACGCATCTGAGCTCAGGAGAGGACTCCCTGCCACGTGGCTCCCAGATAGTGAATCGTATTTTCCCCTGAATCTCAACATTTGCCAGGTTCCTTGCTAATGTTTCACAGACTCTCAGAAGGTTTCACCCCACCTCTTTCCTACTCTTAATGTGTGGGGGGGGTGCTTTTCCCATGTCACCTTCCATCCTTCCCGGGAGGAAGGGCACCAGATTCCCACCAGCACTGGGGTCCGCCCAAGCTTCTGCTTGGTGAGCTTCCGCAGTAGGCTCTTCTCTGCGTTGCTCCCGTTCTGCGCTTTCTCTCGGCATGCTTGTTTTCCTCGTGACTGCCTGCAATCTGCCGGGACACTGTGCCGAGTCAGCTCAGTATTTGGCTCCTCCCAGGATGGAAATTTCCAAAGGCTGGAGGCCAGGAGGGAGGGAAGAAGGAGGAGGATTTCAATGGTCTGTTGCGACAGAGTCTGGTGAGGATTTTGGAGGCGAAATATCTTCTTGAGCTATCGGGGCGCGCTTGCTCTACCCTCACGGTGACCCACGTGTCTCGAAGTACAACTGCGATCAGTAGTCCTCTGTGGTTGAGGTTGGAGAACTAGATCACCAGGCCTTTCTCCCAAGAGGTTTCTGGGTGGACTTGAACCTTGGTACTTGGCACCCAGTATCATGGCCCCACCTCCAGCCTTCGATTTTCCTGCCCTCGTGTTGAGCTCAGGGAGTTGGTGCTAAGTCACGGACATCGCCCTCCCACCCTTCCACGCCGGCTCACTCATGGTACTCCTCTTGACATGGGCATCAATAGCATTCTCATATTTTCCAAAACCAGGTTTGTTTTCTTTTTCTTCAGAAAGCTGAAGGAGACGGACCCCAGTCCCTCACACATCGGCATGTCCTTTTGAGCCACAGTGTTTTGATTCTTGCAATGTATGTGCCTTATTTTATGTTCATCTTGTCAATACGAGGGACCAATTGATGTTGCCAAACCTGAGCTCCGGGGCTGTGGCGGCTGGCTGGTCAGAGAGCACACAGTTGCCGTCCAGTCTGAGCTGTCGTCTTGTAACCTTCTGGTGTTCCTGTGTTGTGTTGAACCCATAGGAGGATGTTCTCTTCTGAAAAGTTACTGTGTGTATCCCGCAAACATGGAAGATAAAATCCAAGTTCATTTTTTTTCACCTTTTTTAGATTTTTAAAAAATAAAACTTGTAATCCTTTTTTAAAAGAAATGTGTGTAAATACATTTAAGTATTATAGGAATAGTGTTCGGATGTAAGGGCCCCAGGGCCCCCGTGGATCAGCCTGCAGCCTGCTGGGAGGCTCTGGCCCCTGCTTCAAGGCCAGGGGCCCAGCAGCTCAGCCGGCAAATGAATCGACTTTTGCTTTCAAAACCACTTAGTCCTTTTGTAACAAAGAAAAAAAAAAGTTTCTTACAATGTCAATAAAAAACGAACAAACTCTTTGTACCGAAATCTTTATTGTCGCTTATTTAATTCATTAAGAAACAAAACAAAAGTGACTACCAAGTGGATGCTAACGTATGAGAGCTTAAGGTATGACAGAGTAGGATTTTCTTGGCTGGTCTCTTTGACAAACAGATCGCCAAGTCTTTGTTCTGCATGCCGCTAGGTGAGTTTGAACTGCCAACCTCTAGGTAAGCCGAAATGGTTTGCCACTATCCTGGGATGCTATTTACCAGTGATTCATGAGCTGAATGGACTTCTGAGATGCTGCCCCCTGCTGGGTAAGGTGGGTCATAAGGTAGACTCTGATACTGGTGGTGGGGGATGTGCACATGGTAGGCAGGAAAATCGCAACCGTTTGGGAAACCTCAACACTGCTATGGCGTCCATTCTGACTCACAGTGAACCTGTAGGGATAGGCTGCCCCTGTGGCTTTCTGAGGCGGTAACTCTTTTTAAAGGTACCCATGTATTTTTCTTAGTTGGGATTATAGCTCTTCATGGGAGTACAAAACCTTATTTTTCTCCCATGGACCAGCTGGTGGTTTCAAACTGCTGACCTTGTGGTTAGCAGCCCAACCTGGAACCACTGCGACCAGGGCTCCAGCACTAGCCAACAGAAAAGCTGCCTTCTTTGTGCCTTTCGGTAGCTCCAGGATTACCTGCTGTGTTAGTCTGGGGAGATTAGAGAAACAAATCCATGGACATGCATAGGTGAATAGGAAAGAGGTTCATATACAAGAGCAGTTGAATATTGAGGAAACATCCCAGTCCAGGTCAAGTCCATAAATCTGCTATTAGCCCATATGTCCAATACCAATCTATAAAGTCCTCTTCAGGCTCAAAACACATGTAATGAAGCCAAATGCAGGACGATCATAGACCAGTGGGTAGAAAGTCTTTGGGTCCACTGGCGGTGTAAGCATCTCAGTGCTGGCAAGAGTTTCCACGTGGCTTCAGCACCCAAGGATGCATCAGGGTAGGTCTATGTGGCTTCTCAGGGATGCCTCACAGGGAGTCAGTCTTGTCAGTAGAAGTCTCCAGCCTCCAAGGAGGAAAAGCCAGATTCCCAGAATTCTCAGAAGAAGGCCATGCCCACACAAACGCCTCATTGGTTATATCTTGATTGACAGGCTGCACTCCACCCCTTCACTCTTGATCCCTGCTCTGTCTTTTCTCCTTGGCTTGCAGTTTCATTCTTTGACCATTCTTTATATATATATATGTAATTTTTTCAGTGTTCCCTTCCTGTGTCTGAGTAGCGGCAAGCCCTGGCTGCAGTATCTTAGATACAAGTGCTACCCCCACCTCACACACAGGTCCCAGGAGGCCTTGCATCCTATGGGCAGTAATGTTTCCTCATCTCTTCTCTCGAACAGGGCTTCCTCAGTCTTCTGTCCAAGGATTGCACCAACAGAAAGACCACCGGTGGGTAGATTTAACGAACAGACATTTGCTCAGTATCAAAACTCAAATTCACTGTCGTCAAGTCCATGCCGGCCTTTAGTGATCCTGTAGGACAATACAGCACTGCCCCTGTGAGTTTCCGAAACTGACTCTACCTTTTTCTCCTGTGGAGCTGCTGGTGGTTTCGAACTGCTGACCTGGTGGCTCCCAGCTCAACGCATAACCACTACATCACGAGAGCACCAGTTTTGCA